CTTGCCTTTAAAGGAGTGCCCTTTGCCATGCTGATGTTGCTACATGCCTTACTTCTTGCCTATCTCACACTGTGAATTTTTTCTAAGCTCTATACTAAACATTAAATCTGTTACAAAAAAAGAACTAAACAAAATGAACACAAAATGATCAGCTTTAAAAAAAGGACTCTGTAAAAACCGAATGAAAAAAGAATGTTAACAACAAATACTTTTTCACACCCAACCCAGTTCTGCGGAATCAGAATCAACGTTGAGTTTAAGCAAGCGAATGAGCCAATTGGAGTAAAGTGCCATACAGATTTAAATTTTTCCCATTTGTGATGAATGCAGCTATCGTTTTTTTTTGCATGCTAGCATGCTAGTTAACATTCGTGTCAGTCAGCTGTTGGCTCTGATGCTGGCCAATATAATCTTCCTGCCTATTTGTGGCAGCAATCTATTGACTCTCACTCTGGCCAGTACAAAATGGCCGCAAACAACATGAAAACTTACGTAGAAGCATGAAAAAATCGATTATTTCCACTATTGATGGGAAATGCAAAGTTGGTCTTGGCCTTCCCGCTAACTTGGAGCATGTGCATGGGAATTTTGGTGCAAATCTGTCGAAAATTGCGTCCGTGCATTCGTTACACACACACACACACACACACACACACTGCCTTTTATATGTGTGTGTGTGTGTGTGTGTGTGTGTGGAGAGAGAAAAAGAGAGAGAGAGAGAGATGTTTACATATATTAAGTTAACTTTCTTCTTAAATTAAGTACAAAAAAAAATCGCTTTACGGAAACGTGTACTAATTTCTACAAGGAATTACTGTCAAGAAAGTAAATAGACCCAAATTGTATACATCCGCCAACAAAATTCAGCACTGGATTACTTATCAATAATATAATATAATATTCCATGGTTATAATTTATTACAGCAGAATCGTAATCATGATACAATTCATCAGACCTAAAAATTCAAAAAGAAATCCTTCTTTTTGAATTTGTAGGTCTGATGAATTGAATCGTGATTACGATTCCAATGTAATATAAATTATAACCATGGAATATTAGTGTTTAATCTTACTTATTATATTCTTACTCTGTCCTGGACATTGAGTTCTACCTGAATTCTATCCTCTTGTATTTTTTAATATATATTTGTATATGTATGTATGTATTTATATATTTTATATATATATATATATATATATATGTATATATATGTATATGTGAGTATATTAACCACTAATATTATCTATCTATCTATCTATCTATCTATCTATCTATCTATATATATATATATATATATATGTATATCTATCTATCTATCTATCTATATATATATATATATATATATATATATCTATATGTATCTATATCTATCTATCTATTTATCTATATATATATATCTATATCTATATCTATATGTATCTATATCTATCTATCTATCTATCTATATATATATATATATATATATATATATATATATATATATATCAAGAGTAGGCTGGGCATTCACAGCCATATTCGCCACCGCCACCAGAGGGGAGGAAGAGAATAAGGAGAGATGATGACGACCCCAATGCTCCGACAGACTGTTTATATATATATATATATATATATATATATATATATATATATATATATATGAAGTAAAATATACTGAAAAAACAAAAATCCCAATATGCGATTATGCTGTTTTAATGTTTAATGTCAACGTCGGACGTTTCGGTCTAATAGACCATCTTCAGGATATATTCATAAAACATAATTAACATGTTAAGTGGTCAGAGAGTTAATTCTTATCTATAGATTCATCATCTTCTGAGAGGTTTTGCTAAGCTTGGGTAGGGTATCTATTTCAAGGCTAATGTTGGCAGTCATCCTTTAGTTGGTTCCCAGTGCGGGATATTTTTATGGCGCGCCTACAAGTCGTTATGTGTTTGAAGGATTGTGTTTTATTATTGTCCATCTGATTATCTATTTATTTATTTGTTTATTCAAGTGGATGTTTTATATACAAACCGTATTGTACTGAATTTCAATTTGTTTTTTTTTTTTTTTTTTGACGACTACAGAAAGGGTTTTTCCTATTTAATGATTTGGCTAAGCTTTTAAGACTTTTATTAAGCTATGGGATTTTTTTTTAATGCTAATTATTTAATGCGAAAGTTTGTTGATGTCGGCAAAAACCGTTAACTCCTGCCTATGGTTTAATAATTTTTCATTATTTAGAAATTTAATGATGTGTAGTTTTTCATGTAGGCATAAAGGGCATGAGTCATCCCAGGTTTTACAAGTTCTTGTTTTATTTACTATTTTCCATTTTACTTTTGGTGTTTTATTCATTTCTTTTAGATGCCAGAAATATTGGGATAGAGATGTCTGATTTCTATTTTGAATATTGTTGAAGGAGCTCTTGTGTTGCCTCCATCTAATTTTAAAATCATTCTTCGTTGAGCCTATGTATATCCTATCAGTGTTAGGACTCTCCATGGATGAGATAGTGCATTGGTATACCACGGATTTTGTGAGGCATTTATTTTCCAATGGGCAGTTTTTGGGGGTTCTACAATCACATAATTTTTCGTTATTTTTATCTAATTTTAGTTTATGAGTTTTATTACTGTTTTGGCATGCGTGTTTTTCTAGGATTTTCTTATTATGTCTTTTTATGATTCTTTCTAGATTTTCAGTGCAGCTGTAACTCAATTTTAAGGTGTTTTTGTTAAAGATCTTGCTAAGTTTGCTATCAGTGGGAAAGTGCTTTTCAATTAAAGCTAGGAACTTATGGCCTAGTTTGGTGCTGACCATTTGGTTGTACGGGGGTGGGGGGTTTATACCAGATGATCTTTCTTTTCCTGTTTTTCTTATTATTGGTACTATCGTTTCTATAGGTTATGTCAGCGTTTTTGTATCCGCTGTTTTTCAGGGCTGTGTTATAAAAACTACTGTGTTGTCGGAATATTTCCTTATTTGCTGAGTTCATACCGATTCTTTTCTCTATTGATGTGGGTATATGCTTAATTATAGATGGAGGGTGTTTTGACTTAGGGTGTACATACAGGGGATTAGTATTAGGTTTTCTGTAAGGTAGGTGAACGTTGTTCGTTAAGTCTAGGGTTACGTCTAGGAAGTTTACTCTTTTTAATTTAGTGTTGACTATTGTTTTTAAATTTAGTTTTCCAAAATCATTATAAATTATCTGTCTAATTTTCTCTGTTTTAAAATTTGTGGAGCTCCTCACTACCATGAGCCCATCATCTCTGTATAACCCGATGTCCCTAATGTCTAGTTCATGGTGGGCAGTTAGATTGTACAGAGTCTAGAGATCCCATGGTGATGTCAAAGTTGTCATTAGTGTTTTTAATCCACTGGTCCCCATTATAGATGAGGACAGATTTCTTTGCACTGAGAATTATGTTTGTTTCTTCCTTAGTTAAGTCAGAATATACTGTAGCAAACTCCAGGGCAGTCGTGAAGAGGTCTTTTGTTATTGACTGGTAGTAATCGACAATATCGAACTGAATGAGGGTGCCGTCGGGCTTATTGTCGATGTTGGTAAACCAGTTTTTGACTTCTTTGATGTTAATCCAGAGTGTTAATCCAAGGTGTTTTTTAATTTGGCTAGTGATCCTTTCCAGGATTTTTTGCTTATCTTTCCTATGTCGGGTCTAGTAGGGTTTATCATTCTGGTCGTGGGGTCTTCCTCAAAACAGTGTTTGGGGTGAGAACTCTTATGTAGCGAAGGAATCATATTTTTAAACAAAAAAATAATAAAGCTCTACTTATGTATGGAGCACTGTCTTCTTAAAAATAAAAACAAAAATACTAAGGAACTCCGGATTATGCACCCAACGTGTTCTTTTCTATTTTCTGCATACCTGCGCACTTATAGATACATACATACATACATTATATATATATATATATATATATATATATATATATATATATATATATATAAACAATTTTCAAACTTTTGATTTTGGCAATAGACCAGCGTCATCATTAATTTTCACAATTCATCTGCGTAACATTTCAAAGTAAAAGTTTTCAGAATAGTCTGATCTATATATATTTCTAAAGAAGTAATGGATTTTTATTTATTAATCCAACATTTTATCAATTTAAATGTCCTTTTTAGTGGATATACATATTTCAGTAGAGATGCTCTATTTATTTTTAAACAGTATACGGACGGAGTGTGTATTTTTTTTTTTTTTAAATAAGATTTCTCGAATATTCCTACCGGTAGAGGAAAATAAATATACTGTTTAAGAAATAAACGGATCGTCTACTCAAATATGGGTATCGGCTAAAAATTATAACATTTAAAATTATATATATATATATATATATATATATATAATAATCTATGTCGACAGTACAACTCAGATATGGGTATCGACTAAAAATAATAACATTTAAAATTGTTTCTATCTATCTATCTATCTATGTAAATATCTATCTATCTATCTATCTATCTATCTATCTATCTATCTATATATATATATATATATATATATATATATATATATATATATATATTAATAAATATACATAATAACCTATGTCGACAGTACAACTTGGAGTTTCATGCTCAGTGCAATCATCAGGTACTTGAACACTTGCACGTACATTTATATTTATCCACTTGAGTATATATATATATATATATATATATATATATATATATAGATAGATAGATAGATAGATGTATGTGTTTGCGTGTGTATGTGTGTGTTTTTGTCTCTGTATCTGTGTGATTGATTTATTTTATATGGTTTATCAATCTTTTTCAGGTTATTTAAAGCCAGAAAATATTTTTAAATTGTAAAAATTATTTTGAGATAATAATGAAAAAAATCATACTAACTAACCCATAGTTGGGAGGAAGAATTGGATTTATACCTTTCCCAAGGGTATTTGTTTGAGAGTAAGTAAATATAACTGGAACTAGGCATTCAGATTTAATTCCGTACTGTTATCTATTACACCACCAGCAATTCAACCTGATATTACTAAGCGGTCACCCACCTAGATACTGACAGGATCGACATTCCTTAACTTCGGCGATCGGACGGGAACCGGTGGTTCAACGTGATGTGGTCGTAAGGCCCTAGCAAAAACAGTAAATTGTGGAGAGCTATGTAGCAGTTACAAAAGTCACAGTAATTTTAGTACTAATCTTCTTGGCTATTACTTTAAGTTTTTAATTATTTGCCGTTGTATTTCTTCCGGATTCATTAAAAATGTAAAAATTTTATCTGTTCTTCATAAAAGACCAGAGCAAATCGGTGATAAGCTCACATAGCGAGAAACGTTTATATAATGCGGGGGTTAGCCCAAAATGGCAAACTGTACCGTACTCATCAGAAAACTTTGACGATCCGAATTGATTGTCATTTTTTTAAAAAGTTTTATTATAAGGCTAATTAAAGTTAAGTCCTCCAAATCATACTAAAACTTTGGTAAAATATCGGTTAACTCTGGACATGAAGAGACCAAAATTGTAGTTGTCAGGAAAACATTCTCTCGAGTGCTTGTGCAACAAAGCAACAGTTATAGGGAATAAACTGTCCGAATAGAACATCCTGCTTATCAAAGTGACACGGAGAGAATGAAGATAATTTGCCACTGTGAATATAACATGGTGGATCCTAGCGTGAACGTTCGATCTAGTGGAACTAACGAATGTAACCTATCCGAACATAATTCATAGCAACAACGATAGAGAAGTGAGAGGATAGAAACGTCTGTGAGATAAGGGTCGCAGGGTGGAGAATAATTCATAATATTTCCATCATACATTCATGAATTTCCTTGGGAATTTTCTACTTTAGGTACAGAAACATCATAACAGCCGAGACTCCAATACTTGAAAATTTTCAACTTTCTGTTCATTAGGTCAATGATTTGAAGCACATTTAAAAATGAATTTATGGGTCCTGTAAATTAACATTTTACAATATATTAAAAAAACACTTTTCTCAACTACAGTGACAAATAAATAAATAAATAAAAAAACTCACCCAGATTTAAGGAAGTATTATAAGTGACTGATAGTGACTTTATTGCCATTCTGTACATGAAAATTATAGATAATTGTAATTGTAAGAGTATATTTTTAGATTTAACTAAACTATATTCATAGGATTCAAACTTTTTTCATTTTGACTTTTCAATATTTTATTTATTTCATCCTGATGAAAACAAATACTTTCAGCTTTTATTATGCCAAAAAACAACAACTAATTAGTCGTATACATTCCACTTGAACGCATTGTCTTCTGCCCCAAAAGTTTCTTATGGGAATATTAACAAAAACAGACCTTGGAAAAAAATAGTCCATTTAAATTCATTTCGTTTTTTCTTATTTTATTTTATTTCCCTCGCACTTCCTTTGGACAAGTAAAAGGAACAGTCGCCATCATTATTGCATAATTTACTAACTTAAGCGATTTTCCCCCATTATTCCGTTTTTTTTAATCACTATTTTGAATTCCCTAAACTTTTTTTTTTAAATTATTTTACCCCAAGCAATGTGGGGATACCACTAGTACGTAAGTGTTGGGGGTTGGGTACAGAGAGTGAAAGTAAGAGAAAAGACTAGATATAGAAATGATTGAGGAAAGGATACAAGATGAACGGAGTTCAAAACAATAGAAAATGACGATTGACGTTGCATTTAAATTTTTGAAGATTGTAATCTTCAGTGAAGCAAGTAAATAGAAGGGAGTTCCACTATCGGGAAGTACGAGCAAAGAAACTTCTGGAGTAGAAGTAGTGGTTGCATTTAAGTATGTCAACAGTAAAAGTGTGGGATGCCAATCTAGTAGTACGCTTAAATTCACGTATTCAGGGTAAAGTGAAAAGGCTCGTTAGAGCAGTGGCCATGAAGAAAAGGGAACGAGAAGCCACATCACGTTTGTGAGAAAGTGACTGAAGTCGAGATGCCAAGTCAGGATCGGTTACATTGCAGATTGTTCTTTGGATTTTGTCAAGAACCTCAAGATGAATAGCAGAAGAACCAGACCAGATATGGCAGCAATATTTAATGCACGGCCAAATGGTAGATTTTTAAATGTGCAAGATGGATTCTAACGAGAAAAACCTTCTGGCACGGCATAATGAACTAACATTCCTTGCAGTAGATGCAACTATTGATTCAATGTAGTTGTTCCAGTTCAAGTCAGTTGAAAACACGAGACCAAAAAGGCGCAGTGTGACGCTCTCCAGGAGTCGAGCATCAGCCATGTTGATAGTGGGCAGGGAAGTTTCTCTAAGGTGGCTAAATGAGAGTAGTTTCGTGTGAAAGGATCTCAAAATGAGTTCGTTCAGAACGACTTTCATTTCACAATTTAATAGGAATGATTGAATTAAATCACACAATCGTCCTGTAATTCCGTACCTGTGAAGCTTATGTAGAAGACCAGCATGCCAAACCCTGTCAAACGTCTTTGAGATATCTAGAGCCACAACTTGATATACATTCAGTGATGGCCATAAGCACGTCATTGATAGACCGGGCAAAACAGAAGCCACATTGTTTGTCAAAGAGGTAAGATGCTTAATCACTTTAGCATTGATTAAAGCCTCGAGTATTTTGCCGAAAAGCGTTAGGAGACTAGTAGGGCGATAGTTAGAGGGAAACAGGAACTACAGAGGAGGACTTCCAACAAGCAGTTGTAGTGTTTGGAGAGATCTGGAGAGAGATCTGGAGCACATTTCTTTAGGACTTCGGCTAGGTATCCATCATCTCCGCTTTCCTTATGGGAGTCTAATTTAAATTTCACTTAGTATAACCTCTGTTCTAGCGGGGGAGGGATCAGGTGTCGGTACTCCAAATGTATCGAGTGTTGATTTGGAAGAGAATTTCCGAGCAAAGAATTCAGGCTTATCTGTTGTAGATGTCAGGACTTCGAATTGCTTGAATATAGGAGGGATTGAGGATTTGTTGTTATTCAGCACACTCTTGCAGAGCCGCCAATAATCTCTAGAATCGAACTTGTGAAATGCTATACGTTGTTTCATTCTATCAGCAAACAGTAACTTTGCTTCATTGAGGACACTTGCAGTCATTAGGATCAGAGACAAAAGAGATGTCTGTTGCAATCAGACGTGTAGGTCTGGTACAGCCGGAAGAGTGATTCCTGCGGACTACAGTGGCTGAGCATGCCGGTGAGAACCAAGGAGATGAACGCGGTTTAACTTGGTATTTCCTTACTGGAAGGAAAACATTGATTCTGGCTTACACAGAGAAGGAGATTTCAGACACGCATTTTTGAACTGGATGGTTAAAATCTTCATTCCAAGGGACGTCACAAAGGAAATCACGGAACGAGTCCCAATCTGCTCGTTGATAACTGTTATAGTGGAACACACCTATTCTATAGTTAATAGACTCTCCCATCTATAATAAGTAGGAGTAGTAGAAGTCGCTGAGTGGATCAGTCAGTCAGTCGATGCCGGACGACCGTTAGTCGGATACTAAAGTATCAGCGACCACAACTAGATTACTCTGCGTCATTACCTATTATATCAGGTTCCTAACGTTTTTTACGTCGAACCTATTTTAGGACGGACTTAGTACAAATACAAGCCTCCACTGTGAAACCACTCCATAACAATAACACAAATATATTGTGTTGTTAGGAGGTTCTTGGCTGGTGGGGGAGCAGAAGGAGATGTCTACAGACACTACCGCATGATCAGAGTTGCCAAGAGAGAAGAGCTACGTAGTACGATAAGAGTCAGGGAAGGAGGTAAAAAAAAGAGATCAAAAAGAGAAGCATGTCCGTCAGGGTTACTGGAGAAATGCGTGGGGAAGTCAACCACTTGCGTGAGTGATTGAATGATTAAGAAGTTAAGGTTTGGGTGCCAGCGAGGTCAGTGACAGTGTGTTTAAGGCACCTGGTATGGAGGGCATTAAATCACAGAACACGAATATAAATGTAAAAGAATGTAGGGAGATGGCCTTGTCTATATTATTGGAAATACTATCTAGCACGCAACAGTCTTGGGAAAGAAGAGATAGCTGACTGAGTTAAGTAGAGAGAGACGGAGACACATGTAAGAATGGTCTGGAGATTCAAGAGAGAGTTCCATAGTCATCGGAAAAGGGTCGCAGACATAAACCCCCAGGCCATGAACGTGAACATTATAGTCCTTCCTAAGTAGAGGAAGGTAGCCAGGAATTGAGAAATCAGAGAAGAGGATTGTAGAATTAAGATTATTTTCGCAGAGAGCCATGACTTTTCGAAGAGGAATGATTCCACACTGCAGAAGTTTGTAAGAATACCTCGAATGTTAGAGAAAGAAAGGTTAAGTGGTTTAGGTATTGTTTATTGAGTTGGTTTAGGTTTATATCTTTGTTTTTTTTATAGTCATGATGTGTTATTTTGGTAAGGAAAAACCTAGCAGTTGGTCATCTAATGTATCATGTGCAGGAAGGGAACTGGTAAAGACTGCAACATAGTGTGGCCTCGGGGTTGCCCACCGGAGATGCTTGCGTGGTTACTCTTCCATGCGCGACATGGCACTGCAAAAACTGCGATATTATGCAACTGTTGATCAGAGGTGCCTCTTAAGACGCTACGCAAGAGTTCGGGCTCCTAACTACCAGCCGAGAACAGCAACCAAAAAGCTGCCAAATCAGTATGAAGAGACCTTGCCACCATCTTCACATATCACAAAAAATTCATTGCAGCACCACTACTAAGGCCTGAGAAAAGGAAAGGAACTGTTGAAACTTGACTAATGCATGGAATAATAATACAACACAAAATGTATTTAGAACAAAATGTATTGAAACAAGAAAGGTACACAATATTTACATATAGTTTTTTGTATATTCTTGGGAAGACCGTTCCTGGAGAATGTGTTGACTTAGTCGCAGTCGGGCAGAGTCTCTGGATTGAATCTCTTGATTCCTCCCCTCGTCTTTCCGGTACCAACCATATTTATATATGGTCGGTACTCCACTATGCAAATTAGGTGGATCCTACCACAGGAACCGCGAACCTCTTCCTAAACATGAGCAAGGGATGAGCTTCTACTGCTGTTCAAGAGAAGGGGGAGGAGTATGGACCGAGCGATAGGAAAGCTTATCTAT